CAAACCCAAAGTCAGAATTTAAACCAACCAGCTATTGTGCCTGAACGTGTGATTACGGCTCCACAGATATCAGGAGTGAAGTACATCTGATCACGTTCTTTTCCTCTACATAGCTACTCATCACTAATCCCAATGCAAATAAAAAATACATTAAAATACAATGAGTTTGACTCATTGTTTCCACGTAGCTGCTGCCTGATTGCTTCCCAATTAATACTTGATGAGCAATTGAGTTTTGCATGTAAATAAGGTATGTCACTATCACACTATCATTCCTGAAGTACTCTTGGATTCCATGTATGGTGACTCCAGGGAGCACATATCAAAGTGATGGCAACAACAGAAGTCATTGTGTGGCTAACTCTCTGCAAAAGGTACACACTAATTGAGCTTGATTAATGAGTCTCTAATTTGAGGCAATCAGGTCCAGGAATTAAAGTATTTTGTATAGAGCTGAAATAAACAGCAAACTGCCATGAATACCAGTTTACTTCAACTTTTAGTTCATCGGGCCAAATACTGAAAGCCAGTGATTTTCCTCTCACATCCGCCAGTCAGTGTAAAATCAGGAGTAATGCCAGTTAAGATCTAGTTAGTATAAAACTTGTGTAAGGGAAAAGAAAATCCAGTGCAATAGGACTTTTGCCATTAATGTCAGTGGGACCTGGATTTAGTGCTCTTTCTTTTTAAGCTTCACAAAAATGTATCCAGTCCTTAGCCTGACTCCCATATTTCTTTTCCCCAAAGACTAATGCACAATCCTTCCACAGAGCTAGAAACAAAAGTTACTTCTGGACCTACTTGTGGAGTACTGAGCTCCTTGGCACTAGCTAACAGATCACTGATCCCCAGAGCTAACAATGTGATCTAGGAAATCACGGCCTTGTTTCTTCCTGCTCTAACCATTAGGACACATTTTGTTGGGAGGAGACATGACTCATGCATGATAATTTGCTAATCTTCCAACAAAAAGTGTTCCTCTCCAATCTTTACCAGCTTCCCATGCTCTCCTCCCTTCATCTCCAAACAAGGAAACAATGAGAAATTAAGAGAAACAAGAAAAGTGAGCATTGAAGGAAAAACTCATTGCAACCCATTGTTTCAATAACAGCTGATGAGGCCATAAGGTAAAAGTGAGGACAATTTCAAAATAACAAGTTATTCATTTCTCCAAAAAAGCCCTGATGCTGCCCCTCCAAAAATCATCCCTCACCTACTCCCTCCCTTTGCTATTTGCCTACTCATCTGCCAGTGCTTAAGACTCCTTCTGATGTTTTGCAGCATGCTTGCCCTGGCATCCCACACGTACATATCCTCTTATTCGGTTCTCTGCTGCTCCTTTGTTCCTCTCATCTCCATATACAGAGAGCTGAAGTGCCTGCCTAGCTGCTGCAAAATGGTGTTAAGACTCTCCAGCTGGTCCCATCACTCCCTGTGCAGCACCCCAGAAAAGTCCTGAAGATTTTCTGCCCCAACACCCCTGCTGATGGTTTAGGTAAGAAGCACAAATGGCTGCTCTTCTTGTGTTGACTTTTTCCATTTTCCCCCCAAGTGCTGATTCCTCAACAGAAGAGAACAAGCAAGGAATTGCTTTTCACAGAAATAGCAAAAAGATAGATCTACCACACTTACTCATGTTGAGTAATACCCTACTCCATGAGTAGTTCCAGTGATTTCAAATGGGATTTCTCATGGAGTAAAGTACTACTCAGCATGAGTAAGGGTGACAGAATTTGAGACCGACTCTTTAGGAAAGTTATACCAGAGTGAGTCAGAGCAGAATTTGGTCCCAAGTGATGCTCCCCACTTGTCCAAGGTACGGCAAGAAATAGTTGAGAAAAAAGAGACCTCTGCCTACTCTATACAGTGCTTGGTACTCTTTAAAAAACAGAAGTGGAATAAATGTAACATAAAGAGGTATTTCTCAGTGCCAGTTATAAGGAAAGCTGGGTGAAAGAGAAACAGACTTTCTGGAATGACTATTCACGATTAGCTTTGAAAATGAGTAGCAGGCAGGATCTCATATTTCAGTAGGTGAAGTTCAATAGATTTTTTGTTGTTGTACCATCAATAAGCCACCTATGAAATAATGTGTGCTCACAATGACACAGCCAAGTACTCTGACTACAATTCATCAACATATCGACACCCACCACTGACACCAAGGGCGACGGGACAGGAAACTGAGGCCACTGCCCCAGACCTGGGCGTAAAGATAAGGTGAGGAAGGGGAGCTGAGACTGGCATTACCTCATTGGCAGGTCTAGGGTGCTATAATTACTTTGGAGAGCCAATACAGGGGGGTGAGTGCTGGTGGAAATAGCGTGCTGTCTGCACTCACACAGCACCAGGAGCCCTGACCAGCCCACTGCTGCCATGGAACTATAACACTGGTTCAGGGACAAGGGTGGACAAAAACAGAGGAAGAGGAGAGAACATAAACTAGTAAGAGGGGCCAGAGAGCAGGGGGAACAGCGAATGGGGACAATATGCTGGGTGAGGGGACAGAGGCAAGTAGTAGGAGAAGGAAACACCCAGGGAGTTGGGACAGGTGAAGGGTTTAATGCTCTGAGGCAAGAGGGAGTGGAGCAAAAAGATTGGTACGGGATTGTTGACTCTGTGGGACTGGACCACAGTAGCCCTGATTCTGCTTCTGGGCTTGGGCCCTGAAAATCCCAGTGGCAGCCCCATAGACACAAGAGTCACAACAAAGGGCTGTTATCCCAGAAACCTGAGATTCTAAAAGGGAAAGTCCACAAATTCAGCTATTAGGGAGAATTTATCTTCAAACAGAGTCATCATCATCATCACCTTTCTCGTGTTGAGGTCACTGGGAAGCAGCAAGACCCAGAAATCAGCCAGTCACACCTGCTTGCAGAATAACTGTCTGAATTCCTTCTGACCCACTGTATCCAAACCGGAAAGTGAAGGCTTTAGTTTGCTCAAATTTTAATAATTACCTACCAGCACCTACCTTTACTTACCCAATACACAATGAAGCAATGTAACGCACTGCCAGCTTATCTGACTGATGATGTAACTGAATGCAGTGTACAAGAAACCTTAACAAATCCAGTGGATTTCTCCCTAGCTGCATAAGAAAGCAAGAGTATGTTAGACTTGCTAACAGAGGCAGTGAAAAGAGATTTACATTGACTAAAGGTATTCCCTTGTTATCACTGTCCTTGCACAACTCTGTGGATTGCACAACTGAACCCGATATCTTACTATTTACTGGTACTGGATGTGTTTTTTAGGAAAATATTTGCTGTTGACTGCTTCACCTTATGCAGACCTTGGCCACATTGCAGTTTAATTTAAAATCATCAACTCGCCCCCCTGCCCAACGTTGCACATTTCTATCCTTAACACTTTTTTCCCTCTCATTCCAGTAAATGGAGCTGCTTTTGTGTAAGGAAATAGAAGAGTACACAATGTTGTTCTCCTAACACTCTGTACCATTCGACAACATCCAGCTATGTCTGGCATTCCCTGCAGAAGGGTCTTAACTAGCTGTGGGAAATATTTGCCTTGCTAAAAACCTCTTTGATTATTTTTGTTTACTGATGAGAAGTCGGGTACGTAAGAGCAACTTCTGGTAAAAGGTTTAAGCAATCAAGGCCATTTTAAATTAATTTCTTCACTGCTGTATGATTTCTAAGTGTCAGTCACCAGCTGGCAGTGTGGAAGGAGATTGGATCTCTCATTGGTGGTGAGAGAGAAGGGCAGCTTGAGGTTGATTGGAGCGCTGGTTGTGGGGAACAGTTGATGGCAACTGAAATGGGAAGAGTTGGCATTGCCGTGGGCATCTTTGTGTAATGAATCAAAGCCACAGGGATAAGACATTGTGCTGAGATGCAGGAGTGACTGGCAGTAGCAGTGGCTATGCCACCTCCACCAACTTCATGGAACCTGGCCCACAGTATCCATGTACCTCCTTACTCTAGATTTCTCTCCCCAGCAGGGAGCTAGTTCCAATAGCAGGGTCATCTCCTTTCCCATGGTTTAGTTTCTGGGTCCTAAAGTTTTCTCAGACCAGGGGAGAAGGAAGGAGTCCCTTAGCTGGCCGCTCAGGGTGTCTGCTGATGGCTAACCAATTGGTGTTTTGGCTCATGGGGAGAAAAGGCAGAGCCTGGGGAAAGGTTCTGGAGAGAGACACTAAGGAGCAGAGTGAATAATTGATTTTTCAGTTTGAGGGTCAAACCAAAACTGATTTTTTTTTTACCAAAATTAAAAGAAAAGGGAAAAATTAGTTTGGGGTCAAACAAAACACTTAAATTGACGCAAAACAATCCCCCCCCCTTAGTTAAATTTCTAAATGAAGCACTGTTCTGAAACAAAACGTCTAAATGTTTAATTTTGAAATGATAGAAACAAAAAGTTGTAATGTTTTCACAAAAAATTGCCATTTTTTTGGCTGAAACTATTTGACAAATGTGACCTGAATTTATGAATAGTTTCAGTGGTCCCTCTGCCCCCAAAATGATTTTTTTTGTGAATGTACTATTTGCTGAAAAAAATCGCCAAGTTCTAATCCAAACACACAAACACAGGCCTAGTTTGCATTAGAAAAGTTTAACTGAATAGATTGCAATAAAATTGACCTAGTTAAACCAGTGCAACCCTTGGGATGCGACTCAAATACTTCTAGAATTTTCCATTTCAACAGTGACTTATTAAAAAGGTTGTAACAAGCAGATCCTAGATACTGAAATGCCTGTAAATAGAGATGGAAGGGAATCCTGAAATCTCAATTCTGCCACTTGACTTTTCATCCCAAGTCCCTGCCTGTCAAGATAATGCATTGCCAGGTGGCTCTATATGGAACAAAGTGAACATCTTGTAGCCTTTTAAGTTAGAAACATGCCATGTGTCTAATTCCTATGGATTTCCCAGGATGGGTCCTTGTATGGAAAGGTGGCAATCTGAAAATGAGTGGGCATCAACCATCTCACAGCATTTGTATTATATCCCCAGTTTTAACCAGCTCAGTACATTAATCAGTGTTGCATGATTATTTTATTTGACCACAGTTTTTCACATACAGTAGACAGCTGTATGTTTTACATTACTGATGCAGCACAATGTCCAAAACGTAGGGCTACTGTAAATTGATATAATTAACAATATGTAAAGCTGTATGTACATTTGTACTAAGTGACAAATAACCAAAAGGGCAGGTAGATTAATATTCACAAATTATTAAACGTTTCTCTGCACAGGATTTGTCATTCCACTTGCCACTTGAATGTATTTCTACACAGTCCTCTATTCCTTCAGAATTATTTGGTTCGTTTGATGCCCAGTTTGAGTATCCTAATGCTTCACCATTTAGATGCTTAAATGTGCCTTCTGTCTGTATGTCATTTATTCCAAGAAATGGCATTTTTTTATGCCTAGCTGCTATTTGTTGGATGGCGCTGTTCTCTGCAGAATTCCTTGGAGAAGCAAGCAGGCCACCAGCTTGGGAACATGCAGCTTTTGAAGTCTCAAAGTTGCCTTCGGAGCCCTCAGTTTTGAATATTTTTTCACCGACAGTCATGCCATTTGGGAAAAGCAGAACTAGGAAAACACATTAGCATAGTACATCCACGTTACTTTTATCATCCTATAATGGGGAAGCTGCTTCTGGGAGCCTACATAGGAAAAGATGGCTCTTTTGTGACTAACCCTAATGTCAGAACTCTGTGTAGAGATGCACAGCTATTTTTGATGATGTGTTCTGATGCCAGGGCAGCTGAGTTTTATTAGCTCCAAACCAGGAGCTTAAAAAGGGTTTATTCTTTTATTGAGAGCCCTAGATGCAGAGACTACAGGGCCCTGAGGGGAAAACGCTTGAAACAAACACACACAGGAGAAATCTTACAGTTGATGTATTATTGTTATTTAAGGACTGGATAGTGACTTTTGGCACAGCTCTGAAGGAGGGTGTGCATGTATGGTGAACTATCCAGGAACAGTTCTGAGATGCACTGGGGCTCAGTCACCCCTCCTCCCCCGTTTCCTCCTTATTATTGGGGTATAGTAATTTACTGCTTGGCTATACCACCAATAAATCACTATTCACGCTGCACGGGCGCAGTTAGTCTGGTCAGCAAGAAGGGTGGAATGGAGCCAAGGTTCTGTCCCTTTCCCTTCTCTCTCTTTGCCCACCTGCTCTAGAGGAGAAGTAAGCAGGTGAATGGCTTCCCTTGAGCAGGTGTATAGTGAGTTATAATCCTGCCCCAAATTAATAATAAAAGTGAACCTCAGAAATGGGATAAGTTTGGGGATTCTTCTTTTGTGTCCACACACTGTGTGAGGAGCAGGGTGGGGACATCACCTGCGTGCGCACACACACAGACAGCTAGATAACATGAGCAAACACTGCAGCAGTACTATTGTAAGCTGTAGTGTTTTTGGAATAGAAGTGTAGCACTTATTCATAAGGTTACACCCATCAAGAGGGGTAGGGCACAGGGAGAAGCCTGTGGCCATACTTTCAGCTCAGTTTGCATCAGTGCATGTCCTTATATATTATTAAGAGCCTGCTCCTGCTGAAGCCAATGGTAGTTTTGCCACTGACTTTGATGGGAGCAGAATCAGGCCCCATCTGCTGTAAAGATCACAGAACAATTATCTCCCACTCTTCTTTTTGTCCACACGACAGCTAAACTGACATATTGGACACAGCATGGATTCTATACAAATAACACTTTTGTAGTCTAAGAACCACCTTAGATTGGATCTTAGCACCTGATCCATTAGTTATCCCCCATGTACAGAAATTTAACAACAGGCTTGAAGGGATTAGATTTTTCTTGGTAAACGTCAATCAATGTGAATTTCACCATACAAACACAAGCTGACAAAAAATAATTCCTTAGACGATAATAGAAATGTATGGATAGTCAAAGTAAGAAAAATGCTGCTTGTGAACTTATTAGAGTTTGATTTAAGGATATTTACTTTGTATATTATGACGTGTGATGTTGATAGTTTGTGTTTTAATGCTTAAAATGCTTCACATTTTTGAATCTCAACATCTACTGCCATTAAATAATTATTGTCTGACCCCTATAATTTCCTACAACTGTGAAAATTTAAATAAATAAAAATAAAAATGCTTAAAAATAAACATTGATATCTGTCAAAATTATATTAAAAATGAATTCTGCCAAGCCTACTTAAGAATAATCTCATTGGTTAACCGCAATAGGACTCCACTTACGTTTAAGTACACATGTGGGACTGACTGTTTGCAGGAGTGGCCCCCTACTTCCCTATGCATCAGAATGGAATTCCTTTACAAAAGCATCAGACAATAGATGGAAGGTTCAAAGTATCAGTGACTAAAGACTGGCCTCAACTAGAACCCTTTTGAACTTCCAGGGAGTTCAGATCTGAAGCTGGATCTAAACATCACTTCTCTGGTTGCGCACATTTGTCAGTGATTGGAAAACATGCCACTTCACCCTGCTTACCTTTCTGGGCTTTGCTGACAGTAGCTTGCAAGGCCTTCAGTTGTACTTGCAACTCCCTCACTTGAATTTTAAGATGATTAAGTTCTGAGCGATAACATAATTGCATTACTCATACTGTCTCATTACAACAAGGAAAAGTTTTGAAAATTATGAACTTAAAAAAAGGCAAGATCTCAGTGAAACCATCTCTCAGACCTGTAATAAATCACTGGTAGAACATTACCAAGGCGTTGCTTTGTATTTCTGAGTTTCTTTACAAGAGCAGGTACTATGAAGCCACAGTTCTACTCTGAGTGAAAGGGAAACTACCCTCAAGTTGTAATTCTCAATAATACCCACAGCAACGCTGGCTTTTAACTTTTAATCATTAAAACTTACAATTAGAAATTTTTTGTCACTTTATCAGTTTTAATAATACATGAGTCTAGTGATGGGCGAACCTTCGAGCTCCACCTATCGATATTACTGTAGTGTCCATCCTGCCCCATAAGAGGCTTCCCTTGGAAGTTCAAGTTTATCAAACTCCATCCCCCAAGTGACCCTCCAAGGCCTAGCTCATTTCTAAGCCTTGCAAATCTTCTGGACTGCCCCATTCCCACACCTCTAAGTGCTTCTTTTCCTTTGGAAATTGACTGGAATAGCTATAGCAGAATAATTATTGTTGTCATGACACAAAATAATTATTCCACTTATAGCCGTGCTTCTCAATTTCATCATGTAGAGAAACCTCGAAGCATTTCTGCTTCTCCATACAGAAATGACAAAGCTCACCTAACGCAATTTGTAAAGTTTTTGCACAAACCAGTCATAATTCAAAAAAGGCCATAGTCTATTCTAGTTAGACCTTTTCTTCACGTATACTACCATTGTCTCAAAAGATTGGTCTGCTTACCTTGGCCTCCACTAAGGCCTGTTGGTCCTCTTTCACCTACTGAACCTTTCTCGCCTTTTGGCCCAGAGGGTCCAGCTTTTCCTGGGAGACCCTGTGTCCCTCTCAACCCTGTCAACCAAGGAGTTGAATGAAAAAGAAAGACCAAAATACAGCAAGTGAGTAATTTAATTTTTCAGCCTTGTCATAGTTTGCAATTGCTGCCATAGCTGCAGATGGGCACAAACTATAATACCCCAAAGTATACCCTATATTATAGGAAGTTCAGATCCTGATGATGATCCAAAGTTCATAACTTGATCCAGTTACCCTAATGGACTCAAAGTAGAAAGCCAGATCAGAACACCTGCAGATGGTTTAGAAGTTTGTATCTGGACTGAACATATTTCTTAATAAAAATATTAATACCTGTGTTTCACTAAAATTCCAGAAATGCTTCTAAGTGTGTCCAGATGTGGGCCAAATGTTCAGCAGGTGTAAAGCAGCACAGTTCTGCTGATTTTTGAATTTCTCAAGAAGATCATTGAGTTCAATGGCATTATCCTTATTTATACCAGCTGAGGATCTGACACAAAACATTTCTGTACAGTCTATTCATGTGCAACATATGCATGGACACATGATTAATCTGGCAAGCCTATACCCATGTACATTATTTTACTTGTGTAAGTATCCCATTGACTTCAGACTCCTCCCTTTTGACCTCAGTGGGATGATTTCCATGACAAAAGATCCCTCCCTTGTGTAAGTGTTTACAAGATCAGGCTTTGCATTTCTGGAGCCTGAAAATTCCACATGGCTGTTAGGAAAGAAGTACCTTATTGATAGGACTTTGGAGTTATTCAGTGGAATTCACCTCAGAGAGCAAATGGAATTATAAGGTTCTTATAACTTTCTATATGTGCAACACAGCAGTTGTGCTTGCATAGGTATATTGGAAACACAGGGAAAGGTTTATAGGGGAAAGTAACAATTGCTGACTGTGTGCTGAAAATCATGTAACCTTTGAACCCTATTGCTAAGGGTAGAAGAGATTGGTTTATGCACTAAATAATGTCCTCTTTAATGCTTAAAGCATCGCTATGTTTTACTGTGTGATCTCACAAATTTAACTATTTTACGGGATTTCAGTGTGACCTGAGTTTATTGAAAAAAAGTCTGCAATGGGGACAATCTGTTCATAGTAGTGACGATAAACGGGGTCATATGATTGTAACATGTTAGTTTAATGCTAGTTTCTTTAGTAAGAAGGAAACCTTTTGTCCCTAGGGCTTTCCTGGCTAAGCATAGCCCTGAGAAATTTTTATATTGTTATACCTAGCTCTCCCTTTTCTCCTTTTGGACCTTCCTTCCCATCTCTGCCTGGTAAACCATTGCTCCCAGGGATTCCACAGGGAATGAACGTGCACGTATTTGCTTTCTCTTCACATGTGCATTGACTGGAGCTGTATTCCCTTACCAATGACATTCCCAGGAGGAGGATGTGAAAAGCATGAAAATGCATAGCTCAAGGCCTTGACCTGGGAAGAATAATGGGAAAATTAAAAACAATGTGAAGAGCATGGCATATTTAACCCCTCCCTCCCCCTTCGCTGAGAACACAGAGTGAGTATGGAGCCCCCAGAGACCATAAGAATTAGGGACCTGGAGCTGTCCTCTGCTCCCGCCTCTCTTCGTGTAGCAAAGTACAGTAAATTGCGCAGCATCATAACACCACCTCAGTTCAGTGCTTCATTTCTGATGAAAACCTACTGTGTAAAATAATATTATGGGAGGCTAATGTCCCATATAATTTGAGGGCTGTTAACCAATGAGTCCATGAGGCCTGGACTAGGACACTAGGCGTGCTGTTTCAGAGGAGCAGGCATGCAAGGGAACAGGAACGACAAGGGGAGCCAGGCGGGCAGGGGCTGGCTGGTCAGAATTCACTTAGCAGCCGGTCTGTTGGACTAAAGGGGGAGCCTTTAGATAAGGCCCAGAAAAGCAGCTGCTCTCCCTGTACCCCGGTTTTTGCCCTTGTTTACAGTGCCCTGGCACTAGCCTTGATGATGAGGAGGAAGAGACGTAGTGCAGCTGAATACACAGTCCTGCAAGAGAGCAAGAAAAGGAGCATTGGCATTTTTCCATCATCCACTGTAGGCTGCCTCGAAAGCCAAATAACAGCCTGTTATATAGTTTATAGATGGGATGTTTATTGAGATGGGTAAAACCGGGAATGGGTTTTGATTTTGCCAACCCATTGGTTGAGATTTAGATTTGCAAAATAAAAACAAGGGTTGATTCAATTTGGGTTCCATTTTACTCATTTACCTACCTCATCGGGATAGGCATTAGGATTGATGTTAAGGCCTGAGTAAACCCTGCCCACTGAAAAACCAGCATGAGGCAGCTGATGGAGTGAGTCTCTCTCTCAGGTTCTCTATGGTGAGTTCGTCTCATATTGTTTTTTTGGGGGGAGGGGGCGGTGTAAACAGGCTCTGGATCCAGCCCCAAAGCCTGGTGGAAGCTTGGGAGTTGTGTAGGAAGCCAGAATCATTCATTGTAGTCCATAAATAGTTCCATAGTTTTGGCTCATATCTATATTTCATGTATATTGACACAACTGTAAAAGCAAGAAGTACCTCTACTGAAGATACCCCAGTTGTAAGAAGAGTATCAGGCCCTGTATTTCTATTTAGACATCTGGTGTAGGGGATAATTGTTTTACAATGGTGTGTCAAATTCACTGTAATAATAAGGGGAAAACACATAAGAAACGTCCAGAATTTTCCCACATGACACTTGAATTATTTTGTTATTTGATCTGCTGGTGAGCTGAAGGGGGAAAGGCCCCTCCAATGTACATTTTTGTGTTTCGTAAAGAAACAGATTCTACTTTCAAGCAATAGTGCCAAGGAGCTATCATAGAAAATATTTAAAGGATGATGGAAAACCTATGGGTATTTTAAACTTTTGCATATGTAAGCTTCACTTATGTTTTCTTTTAAGGGAGGGAACAATAGCATTTTGTGTTGAATGCACTGAAGTTAACTATTTCACCTTTCAGTACTGAAACCAAAAGCAGCACTAGAAGAATTATTGCTTAATGTTTGACTTGTTTTTCTATTAAACATTTTTTATCCCAGAGAAGTTGGCTAATCTTATTACTGACCAATCATGAAATGTTTCACAAGACTTTGCAAGCACCTTATATGCTCAGCAATGATGAAATGATATTATCAGCTTTCACAGAAGAACGTAGCACTGTAATCACAAAGGTCCCTAAAGCACTTTATAAAACCTACAGACTAGCTATACGACAACCATGTCACCCACCACCGAAACGAAAGCACCTGTGGGGTAACACTACACAACAGTTTACATAAGATACCACATTCTTCTTTTACTTGTGTTTGAACACAGACACACAGAAAATATGCTAAGCTTGTAGGAATCCACTTACCTTGCTAAATAAAAAATCCAACTGGTGTCTCAGGTTCCTTCCTACTTTAGCAGGCTACTCCCAGCACTTCCAGATGGAGCAACTCCCCTGATCTCAGGGTCTTCTGTACTTTTTTCACTCTCTGTACAGCTTCCTATGCATTCCCCTTACTTTGCAGCTTCTTGCTGCTGTTTCTACCCAGTTAGTTCTACTAATTAACACCAGGCTCCATCCCAAGTGTGGCAAGCAGGGCTAACTGCACAGGGGCTCCAGTTCTTCGGCCTTTAAAGGGGCAGGCCACCCTGTCACACTGATAATCTACCCTTCCCTTACAAAAATCTCAGGACATGATTCTCAGGCAGCTGGCACTCCTGACTACCATTGTGAAAGAAAGTTGCCAGTAATGGGCGTGTGGCTGTCTATTCCAATTGCAAAAGTTTCAACCTTGGAACAACTGAGTACTGTTTACTTTCTACAACCTTTTGAGCTTGGATTATGTTTTATGTACTGGGTAAAAATAAATCAAATAAAAAGTAAGGCTTGGCTAAGACTGTTCTAAGTTAGAAGGGAATGTGTCAATTTTGACTTGGGTAATGTATAGATCTGAATTTGATATGTACTGGTAGAAGCAGCTTGGGTAGGAAGAGTGTCCCAGGCGGGTTACAATTCAATGTGGCAGTCTCTAGTCATCTCTTCTTCCAAGAACCAATGCACCACCTGGCTCCAGCAGGAAATTAAATGCAAAATTTAATTTCCAGATACAAACAAATCCACCAATAAGAACTAGTGTTAATCGTCATTTATCAGTCAGATGAGACCAAAATGGGATAGTTTAAGATATGAGGTACTTTCAAGAAAACTTCTCTTTTAAATAAAGATTCTAGAAACAATACAAATATCCAGTGTGTGTGAAAATCCTCCTTATCCCATCAATATATCTAGGCTTCAATCAAAAACAGGAAAAGAAAAAAAGTGGGGAGAAGTGTGGGCGGGAGAGAAAACGCCTTAATAATATCATAAAATATAGTAAGGGAGGAAAAAAGCCTTGCTAAAAAAATCCTTACTGCAAATATCAAACAGGAATCACTGCTGATATTAATGCTGAAACAGATTTTATACATACACAACTGAAAAATTAAATATTAAAGACTATATTCTGACATCCTTACACTGAGTATTACGTTACTGTGCAAACAGCCCTGTTCTCTTCATTAGGCTACTTGTGGTGTAAGGTATCATCAGCCTGAAGAAGGGTTTCAGAAACTGGCCCTAATTTTCAAAGTACACTTTTTGCAGTATCCCTCTTTCTTCTCCTCCTCTTTCAATTCCCAACAACTAGTGTACTGTAAAAAGAATAGTAAAAATAAATCTTAAACCCATTAAAGTAGATGTGGATGGAAAATAGTTTTCATGCTCTGTGAGTATTTTCAAGATTTCAGCACTCATTCCCTTCTTGAAAGGGGACAAAAAAAATCAAAATATCTAAAATTTTCACAAACCAACAATCCAAAAAAATGTGCAGATCAGGTCAATTGAAATGTTTCATTTCGAGAATTTCAACTATTTTGTTTTGATTTAGATCTTTAAAAAATGTTTTAACTTTGTTGAGTATACATTTACTAAATTTTCAAAAAGAAAGTTGTTTCAAATTTTAAAAATGGTTCAAAAATGGGACATTTTGACATTTTCAAAACTTTTTTCCAATACATTTTTGAGTTGTGAGACCTGTCAAAACCAAACCTGTTTGGCAAACACAGGTTTGATTTTGACGAACTAACATTTTCTGATAAAAAAAGTATTTCATTGGAAAATTCCCAATCAGTTCTAATTAAAAGGGATTTGCTTGCCCATTTCAATTTGTGCAGCATTTCTCCACCAGCACCATCCGGGTGGGTGAAATAATTTCCTCCAATTAATTTTACATATATTCTGATGACTGATATGGAGATGGAAAATTCTTTGCCTAGCAGCTCAGAATAGAGTTTTTACTGTATGTAACAATTCATGTCTTTTAACTATAATTTTTTAAAAAAATGATTATTATTCCTTCTACTATAAGCATAATTATGATGGATGCAGCTTCATCTGTCAAGAATTTCTATTTTAAACAGAGAAGAGGGAACCAGTGGGAACATGGGCCCTATCTCTAAGTTGAGGACTTATGGAGATACTGACATCTGACTAATCACTTTAGCCAGGAAAGAAAATCAACCTTTAAGGTGTGGAAACTAGCTTGGGCTGAGACATTATAAGCTATTTACCTATTAATTGAGTCAGCTTCAGCAAAGGCATCACAGAATTCTAGGTGCACCTTTTTGCATTGCAGCATACATTTGTGAGACACACAGGACTATTCAAATATGCAAAACCGAAATCTCAGACAATGATGTACAGCTGGGTGTTGCAACAGCAAAAGGCAATCCAGTCTTTTTGCCTTGGAGAAAGGAGTACAGTCTGCTTCCAAAGGAGGTGCAACCATTATGGTTTTTATAAAATGCCACCTCTAAAGTCAAAATGATAATGCAGGTTAATGTCTTCATTTCACAGAAACTCAAGCAGATATTAGGGGGAGTATTTGAGGCAGGGGAAAGGTTATTGTAGCTCAGTTATTTCTGTGATGGGACCATTTAAGTAGAGCTGGGTGAAATTTTTTCGGTGAAGAGTAAAGTAGCTGAAGAATTAACTTTTTGGGGCACCAAGATTACTGGCAAATCCTGGTCAAATCTGGCAAATAGTTCCCCCCCAAATATCCCCCCCCCAAAAAAGTCAAAATGATTTGTTTCAAGAGTCTAAAAAAAAAATGTTTTGAGTAATCATTTCAAAACTAGGTTTTGCTTAGACACACACACACACACACACACACACACACACACACACACACACACACACACACATATATAAAACCTCAAATTAAGTAAAATGTATTCATTTAGTCTCAGGGGGTTTTCTTTTAACTGAAACAAAATGTTTTCGGTTCTGCATATTGGTGAGGAAAAAATGCAAAAAAAAACAAAAAAAAAATTTCAAACTAATTTCAGCCCCCAACCAAAAATCAATTATTTGCTCAGCTTTACATTTAAGCACCTCTTCTTTTCATACCGGTTATTTTGTTTTGTTAAGATTTTCTCTATTTCTAATAAAACTGATTTTATTGAAGATCCCTGGGGCCTGAGACTGTTTGGGAAAATTCATGCAGTTTGTCACGGAGGTACAGTGCATGCAATAATTCACTGGCAAAAAATGCAGGCAATGAACAGCAGTATAAAAATTCAGCATCTTATATTCCGACAGACCACTATGTAGTCCAACGAAGACGCGAAGCGAGTGAAGGACCTGCCGCCAAAGTGCCGCCGAAGACCCGGAGCGCTGCCAGGTGAGTCATCCCTGCCGGGGCCCCGTCGAAACTATTTGAATCGGGCCCCGCAATTAATAAAGCTGGCCCTGATGGAACGTCACAGGTGGTTTAAAATTGACACACATTTGTCTCAGACTGTCAAAAGTGCCATCACAGCCATTGGTCATGGATATGTTTTGACCAACAATTCTGCCGTTTGGGAACATTATAACTAGAAAATAAAGAGAACTCTTGCTAAGGATGGTTTTGTGAAGTCAACAGATTTATAGGGCCTGGTGGCAGAAATCAAAGAATCGTAAAAGTGTTGGACTGAAAGGGACCTCAATAGGTCATCTAGTCCAGTCCCCTGCATTCAAGGCAGGACTAAGTAATAACTAGATCATTTCTGACAGGTGTTTGTCTAGCTTGTTCTTAAAAACCTCCAATGCTGGAGATTCTACAACCTCCCCAGGCAATTTGTCCCAGTGCTTAATTACCCTGACAGTTGGAAGTTTTTCCTAATGTCCAATCCAAACCTACATTGCTGCAATTTAAGCCCATTGATTCATGTCCTATCCTCATAGGTTAATGAGAATAATTTTTCACCCTCCTCCTTGTAAGTACATTTTATGTACTTGAAAACTGTTATGTCCCTCCTTAGTCTTCTCGTCTCCAGACTAAACAAACCCAAGTTTTTCTATATTCCCTCATAGGTCATGTTTTCTAGACCTTTAACCATTTTTGTTGCTCTCCCTTAGATTCCCTCCAATCTCTCCACATCTTTTCTGAAATGTGGAGCCCAGAACTGGACACAATATTCCAGCTGAGTCTTTATCAGTGCAGAGTAGGGCAGAAGAATTACTTTTCATGTCTTGCTTACAACGGTCCTGATAATACATCCCAGAATGACTTTCGCTTTTTTTGCAATGGTGTTACACTGTTGATTCATATTTAGTTTGCAGTCCACTATAACCCCCAGATCCCTTTTTGCAGTACTCTTTTCTAGGCAGACATTTCCCATTGTCTATATATGCAATTGATTGTTCCTTCTTAAGTGGAGTAATTTGCACTTGTCCTTATTGAATTTCATTCTATTTACTTCAGAGGTTCCAGATCATTTTGAATTTTAATCCTATCCTCCAAAG